AAAAAAAAAAAAGAAAGTAGGTAAAGAATATATGTAATAGATATCCCAAAGGGAGAAACAAAGCAATGAAACATACTAAGAACTATAATTCAAATAAAGGAATAGTTGTATATACCTGGATAAATCAGCCCATGGTGGTAAAAACTGAGGCATAATAATAACAATAAATGTATAAAATATAATACTACATTATATTACATTATATTATGATGATATAAAACTACTGGATTTTAAAGAAAAAAAAGTCATTTGAATATCTAGGCAAAATATCCATGTCAGTTTAAAGGAAAAAGAAACAGGAGAGTGTTCACACATTTTGATGGCAACACTTCATGTCAGAAGATAATAAACTAACATTCTTAACACATTCAAGGAAAGAAAATGTGATCCCAGGATTTATATCCAGCCAAACCAAACTCCATGCCTCAAATAAACTACTGTGAACATGAGAGACCTCAGGGAATATTCTCCCTGTGGGCCTATCCTAAGGCATTTGTTAGTGAATGAGCTTTAAACAAACGAGATGACTGAAGATATTGGAGGGATATCTACATGAAGACTAGCAGAGGGTGATATATAAATATATTATGGGCTGAATATAATGAGAAATACATACTTCTTAACTGTAGAACTAAGAATGAATGATGAACAGGGAAGAGGCAGTATGATATCTGATGGCTAAAGACTGACCACGTAGATATAATACAATTAAAAAAAAAAGAGGAAAAGGAAAGAGAATACATAAAGTAGAAAAATGTTGCTAATTGCCTAGGTAGTAACAGATCTAATGCTGAAGCAGTGGGGGATGAAGAAGTAACTAAGTCATTTAAATATTCCTTAAAATAGAGAATCAAGTGACAGCAGCCAGAAAATCAGTCTCGTAAAATATTATATACAAATGTTTTTTTTAAAAGATTTTATTTATTTATTTGACACAGAGAGAGAGCAAGAGCAGGAACACAAGCAGGGGGAGTGGGAGAGGGAGAAGCAGTCTTCCTGCCGAGCAGGAGCCCGATGTGGGACTCAATCCCAGGACCCTGGGATCATGACCTGAGCCGAAGGCAGATGCTTAACGACTGAGCCACCCAGGCGCCCTATACAAATGTTTTTTTTAAAGGTAAGTGTTAGTATAAAATACAAACCTTGCTAAATATCAAAGACATATTAGAAAAAGAGAGAATAAAGCAATAAAGGATTAGAGGTAAAGACAGAGAAACAGAAAGAGGTAGAGATGTAGGTATTTAACATATATATTACATATGCATAACTCACTATGTGTTGTATGACACTATTCATTATATATTATATGTCACTATTATGATACACATATAACAAACTACATATATAATAAATATTACATAACTAAAGTCAAACATATTGATCAATTGACCATATTAATAGATGTAATAGGCTCAACTCACCTGTAAAAAGAAAAAGATTTTCAGATTGGCTAAAAAATAAAAACCCAACACTGCTGTGTACAAGAGATACAACTAAAACAACAGGTTTCAGAAGGTTAAAAGTAAAAGAATAAAGACATATCATAGAAAATGCAAATAAAATAAAGCAGAAGTCACGATTTTTATACCAAACAAGTTAGATTTTTACCAAAAAGCATTACAGGACACAAAGTGGGATACTTTATTATAGTAAAGGCTACAGTGAAACTATAACTACAAAGTTAAACTTCAGAAACAAACGGTGATGCAAGAATAAAAAGACGCAAGCCAAAATCAAAGACTAACATACTGTGTACTTAAAGAAAGAACATATGAAGAAAAATTAATAAGAATACAAAATAACTACACATAATTAATAAGGTGGATCTTGCAGATATGGATCAAATTCACAACCCCCAAGGTAAAAAAGATACTTCAAGTGCACAGTATTATTTTAATAGGGAAAGCCTGAACACAACCCAAATGTCCATCAATAGGGGGCTGGCTAAATAAATCACATTACGGCAACAGAATAGGACATTTTGTGGCTAAAAATGAAATGAATATCTGAACTATACTACTGTGAAATAACATAACTCTGGGATAAATTGTTAAGTGAAGCAAAGCAAAGTGGAGTAAAGTGTATCTAGTGTACAACCATTTACCTAAGAAACAAAGGAGATACAACTATGCAAATGCAAACACACTTATATTTAACATAGCAGTGGGAGGGAAAACCTTACATTATAAAAATGATTCTCTGTGGGGGAGGGAAGGAATAGAAATAGCAAGACTTCCTTAAACATGCCTCACTTTGTAGAATTTATTTTGGGAGCATAAGTACATAATTGCAAAACAACATTTAAATTTAAAAAGTGATTCCTAGAAAGTATTTTTTTAAAAAGTCACTGATGACATGCTCTGTTCCATGCATGATGAAAATACTATAAGGTTCAAGCATTCACCTCAGGTGTCTCTATCCAGCTGGAGACATAATCACATTCAGGTTACAGTAGATGTGAGAAGTCTGAGTGTTCCACAATGTGATATCAAACATAAAGGAGGAGCAGATGAGGTTTAAAAACAAAAAAGAAGAAGAAGAAGAAATGTCAAGGAAAACAAAAGGGAGGAGGGAGCCCTCTGGGCTGGAACTTAAAGAGAGAATAAGGAATTGCTGAGTTGATGTGGGAGAATGAACTTTCTAAGGATCTAAGGAGATGTAACAGCACAATCAAAGTATACACTTCATAGGATTAGCAACCTAACACTCCTCTATGTGAACTCTTAGAGAATAATGAGTACCTCATGGGTTCTTTAAGAAGAAAAATCAACACAGAAATTACAAAGCATTCAGCAGACTATCTGGCGCACGGCAAGCACAAACAGTATCTGTGGTATCTCATTTTTCACAGTAAGTACATGAGCCTTAAATACATAATGCTTGTTTTGGACACTAATTCTTTGATGCTTTGAATATTTGCCAAAATCTTGCCTTTCAATATACCAGAGTTAAGTGCCTATACAAACAGCAAGCCTTATCTGTCTACATCTTCTTTAAGCAGAAGGACTTGAATTTGAATTATGGAAAGAGCACAAGAAAAAGATGCTTTAAATAAAATCTTCTATATAATGCAGAATCTATTACATAAGTTGGCCAATCAAAAGAAAGATCAAACCTGCTTACCTTTGGCATACTATATGTGGAAAAGTTTCCTGAAGGAAAAAGTTCATTTCTGAAAATGGTTCTTTCATCAAAAAGGAATGAGTCAAAGCTACATCTTAAGGTAGAGTCATTACAATGAGTTTAGAACGCCGTTTGTGACCCTCTGACTCTCCAATCATCCGGGAAACACAGTCCAGTCCTCCCCAGCCATTGTACACAAGTAATCCCAGTGATGAATCTTTCCTATTTCCTTATTAGCACTCCACCTGACAGTAGCATGCATTTTCCCACATTGAGAAAGAAAGAGAGAAAGAGAAAGAGAGAAAGAAAAGGAAAGAAAGGGGGAGGGAGAGAGACTTGGCACTGTAATAGCCAGCCTCAAAATATGATCATGGAAAATAAAGAATGAAATCCATGATCATATTTTGAGGATGGTTATCACAATGACAATCCTCTCTCTCTCTCTGGTCAAAGTGGAAAAATGCATGCTACTGTCAGGTGGAGTGCTGATAAGGAAATAGGAAAGACTCATCACTGGGTGAAACAGGTGATGGGGATTAAGGAGTGCTCTTGTTGTGATGAGCACTGGGTGATGTATAGAATTGTTGAATCACTATATCGTACACCAGAAACTAATGTAACACTGTATGTTAACTATACTGGAATTAAAATAAAACAAAATATGATCATTGGAGTCATACACAAAAATGGCACACACAGAAAAAGTCCATAATAGAATATCATATGACAGCTCCAACTTACAAGATACATTAGACAGAAAAAAAATGGGAAAGTGGTTCAATGAATCAATGCTGCAGAAAAAGGGAAATGATGCTTTTCTTAGATACTGGCATATTTAACCTGATAAACATAATTATTGACTTAGTAACACTAATTGTTTCCTGGCAGAAATAACAACAAAAGTGTTCCTCACGGTAACATCAGCTACTCAGCAGAGTATAAAAGGGGACAGAGGTAAGGAAACATTCAAATTCAAGAAACCACCCTCGTGGAACCCCATTCCTTCCACTGACACCATGGTCGACTCCTGTTGTGGCTCCGTCTGCTCTGACCAGGGCTGTGGCCAGGAGACCTGCTGCCACCCCAGCTGCTGCCAGACCACCTGCTGCAGGACCACCTGCTGCCGCCCCAGCTGCTGTGTGTCCAGCTGCTGCCGCCCCTCCTGCTGTGGTTCCAGCTGCTGTGGCCCCAGCTGCTGCGGGCCCAGCTGCTGCATCTCCAGCTGCTGCCGCCCCGCCTGCTGTGGCCCCACCTGCTGTGGCTCCAGCTGCTGCAGGCCCAGCTGCTGCATCTCTAGCTGCTGCCGCCCCACCTGCTGCCAGACCACCTGCTGCCGCCCCAGCTGCTGCGGGTCCAGCTGCTGCCGCCCCTCCTGCTGCTGCCCCTCCTGCTGCCTGCGCCCAGTCTGTGGCCGGGTCTCCTGCCACACCACTTGCTATCGCCCCACCTGTGTCATCTCCACCTGCCCCCGTCCCATGTGCTGTGCCTCCCCTTGCTGCTGAGCCCCCTGCCCTGTGACCACCATCTCCATTTACCTCTGCCCCTCAGATATAGACTTTTTGTGCCAACCATTAGGACACAGGAAGTGGGGTTAATGTTGCTCAACTGAGTTGCATCTCATGATTCCAATGAGCCCATCACAGTCTCACTGACTCTGTGAGCACATTCTGGCCTCAGTCCAAATTCTACTTCTGGACCTCTCCCTTTCATCCAAGTGTGAATTTTCTTACAACATACCAAGTACAATGTTGTATTGACCAATTCTCCCAAATTCTCCTTAATTTTGAGGCAGCAGCTCATCAAGCTCAAGGAGCTGAAGTTTGATTTCAGTATTTCTACATTACAGATTTTTATAGTCTCTCTCTTAATTGTCCAATGGATCCTCTTTTATAATTCTTATTCCCCAAATTTTCCTATGTTATAAACTCTATGCCAAAATAAACCACCACTTTCTTGTATGAAAATTCAGTGTGATGGTACTCTTCTATAAGATTTTCAATGCAGTCACTGGGTAATATATAAGACTGATGAGTCAGTGACCTCTACCTCTGAAACCAATAATACATTATATGTTAACTAATCGAATTTAAATTAAAAAATAAAATAAAAAATAAATTTAAAAAAAGATTTTCTGTACAGTCTGGACAACTATATTTTACCTACATGTGTAGCACAGACAATATGGCTTTGTTAATTTTACAAAAGAGGGAGAGCCCACATTAGTCACAGTTTCGGTTTCACTGGCAGTTTTAAGTTCTTAGATAAAATATTCTTGGGAATTCATGGATAAAAATCTGTGAAAAACTTTTTTGGAAAACCTATAAGCAATTAATGCTCCCTGGGACATCTTTTCCATATTATATATCTGTGAAAGCAGTTAATAATTAAAAGGAAAATGAAATTGAAAGTACCTGGGAGCAATTGATGATTTGGGAAAACATAACAAAAGGCTGAGGGTGATAAATCAGAGATTAAAGGACAGATGTAAAAGTCAGAGGTTTCCCTGGCAGCATAGAAATTGACTCTCATAAAGGGTAAATAAAGCTGAGGACCAAGGCTAGGACTTCATCAGAGGAGGAGCAGAGCTCCAGAGGTGGTTGTTCATTCAGCCTAGGGAGTTCTGCCATGCCAAGGTAGAGAAGGGGACCCTGAGATATGAGATGGAGACATCTGGATTGATGCACTTGAAGATCTTGAGTCCCCAAATTTCCCTGAACCCTCTGGGCTTGCAGAAGTGATCCGATTTCTTTGCTGACATTCAGTGCCACCTCCATTCGTGAAGATGATGCAGAAGCTTCACTCTTGAAAAACAGACAACACAAGCTCCTCTCACTACCTTCTCCCACCTCCCTTTGTCACAGACCAATAACTACGGTTAAGATACACAACGAACCCAGAGAATGGCTGAAGCTGTTAATGGGAGACTATATCCCAAAAGATCTGTAGGACCGAAAGACTGCTTCAGAGATAGTGGTGTGCTTTTCCATCAGGAGGCCCATATTGTCCAATTGTCTCCCTTTTTTTTTTGATGTTATCAGCTGTTGATGATCATCGCCTAGGACCATTATTTCATTTAGGCATAGCAAAATCATGATATTGCGATTCTATTATTCCCCTCCCTATTTATTAGCTGGGATAATTCCATAAAGAGAAACTTCACCTTGTCAACATTTAGTTATCCAGAGGAATAGTATGTACAGAAAAGGCAAAATAAATGTTTGATTCTTTCCCTTTATTTACCAGTTTGCATCCCCCAAGGATGACGAAAGAGTTTGTTGTCTTTTTAAATTTTGCATTAATATGAACTCATGGATTTCAATATACTTGATGGTGAATCAATCCATTCCAGTTCATATCCCTCTACTGATGTTCAAATAAGCAACTTCAAGTTGGCCTCCAAGACCTTTTGACATGAATCTATCACTCTGAAAATTCCTCGCTTTTTCATATAACAGAATATTGCAGACTTGTTTAGACACTTCCTTCCCTAGACTTCTAATCAGCCATGTCTCTGAGGAGCCCCAGTTCCTTTCAGGAGGAAACAGTATTTGAGACCACAATTTCAAATATGCGGATGTTCATTACTACTAAATCACTTTCTTCTAGCTTTTTCAGCATTCACAGCTAGAAAATAGGTATTTAAATGGTAAACCATGCCATGAGTTTCTACTGAGAACTACAGGGCTTTTATTTAACCTCATATAACTTATAAATCTCATTTCTCCTATGCCAAAAATGTCTCAGTGACAACAATGTATTTACTCATTTTCTTTATTCTATAATGTTTGTCCAACAGTCTCAGGATAACATTACCAATACTAACAACAATACAGTTACTGAAAACAAACTTAAGACTGTTTTTGAGTTGTTTTATATATTTTTGATCTTGGAAGAGTTGCTTTTTATGCATAAATATACAGTTAGGTTCCTTTGTTATTATTGTTTTAATGATTTTGAGATTTAAATTTTTTTTAATTTTTTTATTGTTATGTTAATCACCATATATTAAATCATTAATTTTTGATGCAGTGTTCCATGATTCATTGTTTGTGCATAACACCCCGTGCTCCACGCAGAACATGCCCTCTTTAATACCCATCACCAGGCTAACCC